TTGGCGCAAAAGATTTGTCGCTTTCTCATGAAGTTCCGTGCTAAATAAAACGTCAAAGTTTTTATGTATTGAGAATAACATTTCTCCTCGGACGGAAGAAATAAATATGTTGAAGGCAGTAGTGATAACTTTGCCTCAATTTTGTTCCAATCTCAACTTTGACAAATCTCGTGGCTGACGCCAATCATTTTGGCACCGACTCGAAACACATAGAAAGGCACTTTCGACCGGACGCTTACCAGTGTCGAGAGACTTCGTTTCCCTGGCCGGTAGCCTCCTCAAGTCCTGATTCTCGGCTTTAGACTCGAACTCCCGTTTCCGCACGGCCACATTCGGCACGCTCCTCTTGTTCGACAATCTCGACAGCTCGCTCCTGTAGAGATTCGTCCGATCGCCAGCGGGCTCGTCCTCGTCGCTCAGCAGACGACCCGACTCGAACTGCTTCGCGCGCCGCGAGACTATCTGCAGGCCCTGCGGCGGCACCGGGAACCTGGTGTCGCCGCTGATTTTCTTGTCCGGCACCGGAGAGGACGGCAGCGACGAGGAGCTGTTTCGCGTCTCCTGCGCCGCCTGTTGCTGACTCGCGCCGACGTTCTCGTGTATTCTCGACAGGATGCTGACGAAGCTGCCCTTGCTCGTGCCGCGCGAGTACTGCTGCTCCTTCGCGTGCTCGTTGTCGTAGAGAAGCGACGGCGAGTAGCAGTGATCCGCGGACTGATTGTCCGCGAACTGTTGATCGTTCCGCGGCTTCGAGTACTCGGAGCTGGAGTCCACGTCCTTTATCCTCTGCACGCTCTGATTCGACGGCTTGTTCACCAAACTGGTCTTGGCATTCCTCTCTTGAGATCTCCTCGTGGGGGATTGCTGTCGCTGCTGCTGCTGCTGCTGCTGTTCGGTTTGGCCGCGCTGAGGGAGGCGTCCACGTCCGGCGATACTGGCGATGCCGTTCGCGAGGGCGAATCCTCTCGCCGGGCGTCGCATCACCGGCAGAAGCGGGTCTTCTGGTTCACGAACGACGGACGGATCGCCCTGCCACCCGGCACCGTCATGACGATCACGCCGACGCTGGCGTTACCCTTCGTCCGGCATCCGCCTTACGGCTTCCTTAGCAACATGACCATCAGCCTGCCGTTCACAAGTGAGTCCGCGCTGCCCACGTGGGTGCGAGTCCTACGCTAAGTGCCGTGATTGTATCCGGTAAAAGAAAATATCGCGATGTGACAGAATCATGCGTCTTTTTCCCCCTCAGTCGACTTCGACAAGCTGGGCCTGACGGACAACGAGAATCCGTACGGCGCTCTGCCGCCGAGCTTCGACAGGAAGCTGAACAGCCGGCAGGCCGGCATGATGATGGCAGACTTCATCGCGGCATTCATCAAGCGCAGATTACACAAGCGGGACATGTCGGAGGTGCCGAAGAACGCGTTCCACGGCGGCGAACGGGCGCTGCTTTACGGCACCACCGAGGATATGCTGTCCACGCTGGGAATGAACGGGAAGGCATGCCTCTTGAGAGCGATTTGCGAGGTCCAGGGACACCATCTGAACAACTTCGGGCTGATCGGCGAAATGCTGAAGCTCTTCTTCACGTTAGTAACTCGGGTTCATAGAACTAAACCTTGGAAGATTATCTTGC